GAACATTCCCTCAGCCCTGGCCGAGTGGCTCAGTTGGTTGGAGCATCGTCTCATACTCCAAAAGGTTGCAGGTTCCCTTCCAGTCAGGGCACGTACCTAGGTTGCGGGCTTGATCTCTGGTCAGAGCAAGTTTGGGAGATAACTGATTGATGTTTGCTGCTCTCTCCCTGTGAAAGGGAATGGGGATGTCTTCTTGCTCTCACCGGCCACAGCCCACACGGGACAGCACAGCATCGCTGAGCTGAAGTTAAGAGAATTGGTTTGGAGCTTAGCTTTCAATCTTGGCTCCAGCATTTACAAGCTGTGTGATCTGGTCAAGTTACTGAACCTCCCGGTGTCTCGGTTACTTCATCTGTAAGATGGAGATAGCAAGAGTAGGTGTGAGGATGAAATGATTGAAGACTTACAAATGCTTAGAACATTGTCTGGTACATAATAAATGTTCAATAAATGTGAGCTTCCAGTGGCATTATTACCTTATCTGAGGGGTGGGCCCACCACACGCAGACCACGTGCTCTTAGTAGGAGCCAGCAAGAGCTCACTAAGCACGGCCAGTGACCTGCTTCTGGTGAAGGCTCTGGGGTTCCAGAAGCAGACACCTCTCCCCACCAACCTCACAGTGACCTGCCTCTTTCCCCACAAGTCGCTGGGCTTCTCAGAGATGCTGGTGCCCCCTCATGAGTGTGTTAAAAGCAGGGAGGGTATGCGGTCATTTTGTGGTTTAGAGTGCTCACTCAGGCTGCAGAGGGGAGAGTGGACCGGAGGGGACACAGCTGTGGGTGGCAGTGAGTGGCTCAGAGGAAGGTGAGGAGGTCTGGGCTGGAGCAATGGGATGGAGAGAGGAGAAAGGATGAATAACGAAGAATCAGTAGGTCTTGGAGAGTGAGGGGGTGAGAGAAAGGGAGGCCCCGAGGGTGAACCTCAGGTTTGAGGTCTGTGGGCAGCTCATTCTTGCTGGAGAGGCTACCTGGACCCCCTTGGCATGAGGCCTCTTGAGCCATTGGACCGCTGCCCAAACCACCCTCCCAGAACCGGCCTGAGTTTAGCATGGAAAATGGGCCCATCCCACTCCCTCCACACCACTGCCTCAGGCCTTGGCCCTCCCAACAAAGGCAATTTCCCCCAATGTTCTCTGGCAGGAGGAGGGATCCGTCAGCACACAGAGACACATCCTGCTGAATTCATAATGTCTTTTATTAATATATTATGCTACAAAAATATTTTTGGCAAAATAACATTAATAGCATCTTTCTTTGTCTTCTATTATATTCTTAAAGAACTCTTCATAATTCACAGAGGTGCAGGGGAGAGGTGATCGAAAGAACAGCATCATGGATACTTTCAAATACATTAAGGTCTGAAGCGTGTGTCACACAGTGCGAGTCCGGTGGGGACCTTCTGCGATCCCTCTGAGGCCCAGGGCTGGGGCTCTGGCTGCCTCTGTTTTGGGCTAGAATCTCCCTTGGCCAAGAGCCAGGCCCTGCCACCCCAGCTACGGGGGCCCAAGATGCTTGAAAGCCCCACCGGAAACGTCTTAGACTGAGGCCCCATTCAAAGCGCACTTTCCCCAGCGGGACTCATGATGGAGCGGCCCTTTGAAGCTACTTTGCCACCTCTCCTTCCCGCTGCGTGCTCCCAAGCCCATAGCGGACTGCGGGTCCTGGGAGGAGAGCCCAGCATCGATCCTGGGGAGGAGTGGCGTCTGGCCTTCTTGGAGCCCCAAGATTGCACACAGCATCTGCCCATCCCTCCAGAACACCCCAGGCAGGAAACAAGGTCTCTGTTTGACAGATGAGGAAATGGATGCTCAGAGAGGGGCAGGGACTTGCCCAAGGTCACCAGCAAAGTGAGGACTCTCCTGAGTATCTCTGAGAAGGAAGTGCCACAGTCAGAGAAAGGGTGGGGGAAGCTGATGCTCCTGGGCCAGGGCCAGGCGAGGCTCAATGGGCTCTCATGACCCCGTCCTTCCCTCCTCAAGGGTGGGGGCAGGGAGGCAATAAGCTCCGGGCTGGAGCCAGGGTCCTGGGTTCCAGTCTAGCCCTCCCCCACGGCCCAGCAGTCCCCCTGCCCAGGGCAGCCGGCTGAGCCTGCCAATTCCGTCAGGCTGGCTGGGCTCTTGGAGAACTGTGGTGCGCGGCTGGACTGATTCCTGAACCTTATTGGTTTAGACAGCCAGCCGGGTGATTTTTCTGGCTGCTGAGATGAAGTTTTGGAAAAATCACAATGTTCAAAGAACCTGAGCATAACAGAGCCAGGAGGGACTCTCGATGTCATCTGCCTCAGTCCCTTGCCAAGACTTTAAATCTCTGCCATATCTCTCCAGCCAGGGTGCCTACAGCCCCTGCTCACACACCTCTCCTGACAGAAACTCACCTGCAGGGGCACCTGTCCGTTCTCACACAATTTTGGCTTTGTAGAAACTATTCCACTAGCAAAGCTAACATCTGCCTCTCTCCTTCTTTCCTTCCTTCATTTCTTTCTCTCTCCTTCCCTTTCTGCACAGCTGTTGAGTGCCATCTTTGTGTCAGATGAAGATACAGATATGAGTTCACATGACTCTTGCCACCGTGGAGCCCACAATCCAAAAAGAGAGCACATGTGCAATTAGACAGTCTCAGTGGGTGTTGTGCTAGATGCTAGAAAGCACAAAGGAATCACAGGGGGCTTCTTGGAGGAGGTGTCATCTGAGTTGATCCTCAAAAAATGAGCAGTTAGAGTAAGAGAAGGGAGTTCCCAGGCCTAGCAAGCAGCATGTGTGAAACGTCCTATCTATCCTAGAAATGACAAATATGGTTCAGTCTGGTCAGGCACAGAGTGGGAGAGATGAGAGATGCAGCTGGCGAGGTCAGCAGGGCCAGATCATGGAGAGTCTAGAATGCCAGGCTGAGGATTCGGTTCTTATCCCACGGCCATGGAAACACTATCGCCAGCTCCAATTCTGTTCTCTGCACACAAACCATCAAAGCTGCCATTCCCAGGCAGAACGTCTCTTATCCTTCACGGTGTTTGGCATAAGCTTTCCTTTGGTGGGGGACCTTTCCTTGGGATCTGTTGTCAGTGGCACCAGACTGAAGGCTGGGCAGGTAGGACAGAACCCTGAGCCTCTAGGTTTGCCCAAGTCTGGCTGAGACCAAGAAATAGAAGATGGAGCATTCGACGTCAGGAAAACTCACTAATGGTCTTTCAGAGCAAAGGTGACCTTGCTGGTAAGTACAGGTGTCCGCGCTGCCTGGACACCAGATCTTTGAATTTCAGAGGTGGAGGGGCCCTCGATGGCCTTGTGCAGCTCCTGGCAGCCTGACTCATGCACCTTCAGTCCAGGCCTACACCTGGCTGCGGGGTGTCACACAGCCTGGAAGAAGACTAGAAGCATGGCTATGCTGACCAGCCCCAGAAAACTCCGGGGTCATTCAGTCAGGTTTCCTGAGAGACAGGGGATCTGGGCCACCACTAACTTGTTGCCTAACCTTAGGCAGGTCACGTAACCTGCTGGGTCTCAGCCCGTCCATCTTCTCTGCCTGCCTCAAGGCCAACGTGAAAGCCCTAAGACGTGTACGCGAGGCTCGCAGAACAACAGGGACATTTTATGAGGCTGAGCACATAGCACATGCTGGGAAAAATGTCAGCAGTGGTGGGTAGATCATTTCCAAGTGTGTGATTGGCTGCTGATGGAATGAAGGCTCTCCGGCCCAGAATGAGAGAATTCACGCACCCCAGCCATTCAATTTCCATAAATGTGCCTCAGGCCTTCTGGGATATAAACAGCAAGCTCAGTTCATTTCAAACCCTGGCCAGTGGGTGGTCCTCAGAGATCAGCGCACTTCGGCTGCAGATGTCTGACCCACGCTGGCTCTGGCTGTCCGGGCGGCACACGTCCACCTAACCAGTTAGCACATCCATCTTTCTTTAAACGCTTGAGTGCTTATCTGAGGGAGAGTTTGGAATCCTCCAAAACTGCACCAAGGAGGGGTCTGGGGAAGACTAGGGCTGAATCTGCCTGGTTAGGGGACTGGATAGGATAACCTTGATGTTCCTTTAGGAGCCCAGGACTGTGCTGCGTGTCTCTCTCAATGCTGAGTTCCTCTAGGTCGGGAAGGTGGCAAGATTCGGGCCCGACATGGAGACTGGCACTGCGTGTGCTTGATAATCACACGCTGCATTAATTTACCTCTGGCCCCGTGCCTGGCACAGATCTGGGCACGCGGTCAGGTGCCTGGACTGTTTACCCAAATGCTTCATCTTTAATTAACCTCAAGTTCCATCTCAATACATCGCATGCCACACTCTGCCCCGAGCAGAGGGAAATCTGGCCTGTGTGTTTCTAATTCCTTTACACTTATCTCATCCAAATAGTGCTCCGCACGAAGTGTTTGATGTCCCCCAGGCCTCTGAGCCTGCTTTATAACTCAGCTAAGCCCCTTCCCGCTCAGAAATAGGAAGTCACATTTCTGCCAAGGATAAACCCTGGCTGGGGTCAAGTTCAGTTTACAGCATGATGCCCATGGGGCTGGCTGGACCCTCTGAAGTAGAGCTCGGGGCTCCTGCCAGGTCTCAGGCTCAAACACATCCATCCAGGGCTGAGCGGAAAAGAATTCAGAGGCCTGCCAAGATGCCGGTGGGACCTCTGACCATCCAATGAGCTGCCCTGGACTCTACTACTTCAGAAGGGAGACAGCTGCCCCGCGGGGACTGGGGTGAGTCAGTCACTACCAGGACTGCCAGGGAAAGGCCTGGTGCAGTGACACTGGAGAGCACTGGTCTGGGATTCAGCAGATATCCAGCTGTGCAGTTTTGGGGAAATGCCCCCTCCCCGGCCTGATTATTACTCTTAGTTATATGTCAGATGAGGGGTTCTTTCTGCTCTCTGGTGCCAGGGCCCTGTAATTGATGAGCCGCCAGCCCTATGAGGGTCCAGGACTGGAAGGCAGCCAGACAGGGTCCTCTGCCTGCTCGGCCACCGCCTTGGGGGCAGAGGATCTAGGTCTGTCTCTCTGAGTCCTAGTGGCCTGACTGTCCCCGTTTGACTGGCTGCCTGTCTCCCCACGCTTCCCACAGCTGCACCCCATTCCCTAGCCTCTGATTTGGCAGAGAAGCCTCTCATTGGCTTCAGAATAAGACAAGTCTGGGCCCGGGACACGTGGCACACACAAAGAGCCCTTTGGCAGGAGTGACCAACATGAGTAACTGGGGCCAAACAGGCTCTTTGGCGGAGTAAGAAGCGTGTGCTGGCCCTTGGAGCTTCCCTGTGTAGAGAGAACGTGGCAGAATCCGATCCAGGAGATAAGCATCACTTTTCCATCACATACTTTGGGGCCATGTCCTGGCTGGGTGACCTTGAGCAAGTCCCTTGACCTCTTTTGGGGGCTCAGTTTCCTCATCTGTGAAATGGGGATAGTTGCATCTCATAGAACTGGTGTGAGGATCAGTGATAAAGTGAGTGTGCAAAGTGCCTGCCACATGGTAGGCTTTGGACAAATGGTGGCTCTCGTTACAATTAGTATTACCATGTGACTCCCAGAGCCCCAGTTCCTGAAACTGCCCTCTGTGCCGACTCCTGCCCTGCGGCAGCTCCTTCCATTTGGCCGTGACTTCAGTAGCATCTCCTGTAACCCACGCTGGATTAATGCTATCAGAGCAGAGAGGTCTGGATTCACATCCCGATCTCCCACTTGCTGAGTGACCTTGGGCAACCAGTTTCCTCTCTTAGTTTCACCATCAGGCGCATGGGCCTGGGAAACCACCTCCCTCAGCACCGACCTTCTTCCTCCACCCAGGGCCTTGGCCAGAACACTTACCAAGAGCTCCGCAGGCCCGTTCACAGACACCCAGGGTTTACAAAATAGCAGCATTCTCTTTCCGAAAGTGTCTTCCCAGCCCCAGATGCATCCACGGGAGGGAAGGACCGTCAGCGTTCACAACTCTGGCTCCCAAATCCAGCTTCACAAAAGCTAAGCTTGTCTGCCTGCCCCTCCCTCTGAGGTCCCGGCGGTGGGAGAAGCCAGACCCAGACACGGGAGGCTTCCGCTGGTCCAGGAGCCGGCAGTGCACAGCCACAGTCCGCATGAGGTCACAGATGTCCTGACAGCCTGGCTTCCCCGCCTGGGTTGGTGCTGGGGCTCATTAAGGGGTTACTGATATAGGCCACATAAAAATAGTTTTATCAGTGGAATAAATACACTTTTCTTTTTTAATATGGACACATATTTTACAAAAGAGCCCCATAGCACTATGGGAAATTAAGATCCTTCTACAAAAAAGAAGATGTAACTCGGGTAACAATAAAGCTCTAGGGTTCTAACGGATCCCGACTGGACTGCCCGTGAGGTGTCAGGCACCCCTGGGAGGGGGGTGGCAGGGGCAGAGGGGTGTGGCCACAGACCCTCCTACGGTTTCTCTGGCTTCTCTGCCCTGGCAGCCGAGGTCAGGAGGGCCCGAGGGTGTGCAGCAGGAAGGGGGCTGCAAAGCTGGCAGCGACGACGGCCGGGAGGAGGCCCAGGGCCGGCTGTGAGTGGGCAGGCACTGAGCCGCTGGCGGACCCCGGCTCTTCCTGCGGCTGGAGCTGGTCGGAGAGCTGGAAGAGGGGCCTGGCGGTCCCGGAGCTGGAGCTGTGCGTGGGCTGGAGGGGCAGCGGGGGTGGCGAGGTGGTGGTGCTGGAAGGAGAAGACACATGGAACTCTGAGTGACCGCTCCGCAGCCCCGTCCCGGGCTGTGGTCCTGAGGTTCAGATCTGACTTCATAAAATGAAGGAGAAAACAGGGGGCTCAGACAGGGACAGTGAGCAGCCAGAGCCACACAGCAGGCTGGCTGAGCTCCTGAGGCTGCACTCACCCTCCTGTGCCAGGCTCCGGGGGGTGGGGGAGTCGGTGGGCTGGGCACTGGGAGCCACGGGGCTCGTGTGACCACTCAAGAGAACTGAGTCCCAGGCAGAGGGAATTACAGTGCTATGGAGAATTGAAGTGTAGTTAAAGTGTATCTGGGGTCATAGCGGGGCCATCAGCCTCCACACCTACGTATACAGATGCCCCGCCCTCCTATTGCCCTCCCACAAAACACACAAACCACCCCTCCCCCACCCCCTTATCCCAGCGGCCATTTATTGAGAGTATCTCTGGTCCTCGGAACAAACCTGCACAGTGGCTCGCATCACCCCTTCACCAGATGAGAAAACTGAGGCTCATGGGGCTATGCGGTGACCAGGTCACTGGGGAAGGGGAGGCAGCACCTCCACGGGCAGGAGCCCTGGGGTCCGCATAGTCACAGGGAGCTTTAGTGAAAGGCGCAGTCCTTCGTGAACTTATAAAAACAGAATCCTGCTTTGGAGGTAATAGTTAAGGATCTTGGCTCGAAAAAGCATAGGTGAAAGAGAGGAAGGGAGAGAAACAGGGAGACAGAGTGAGGCAGAGAGAAAAGGAGATTAAGGACAGAAGGAACTGGTGCCATTGGGGAGTGAAGGGTAGGATGGGGGCCAGGCGGAGTGCAGGGCCACATCACAGTTCAAGTCCTAGAAAGAGATAAAAAATTATGAATAGAGGGACAGGGACTGGGGAAGGGAGGGGACACAGGAGGAGGAGGCTCAGGGATAAAGGAAAGGGCTGGCCCTAGAAGCTATGGGCACACTCGCCCTGTGGGCCCTGGGCTGGGGGAGGCAGATGGACATGCAGGCAGAGGATCCAACAAGCCCCAAACAGCAGAGGGGCAAGGATGTGAGGGGACACCCAGGGGCAGTGGGGACACAGGCCTCCCTGAAAAAGAGACTCTGCAGTCACCCATGAAAGCAGCAAGTCCAGCCTGCACATGGCCGAGGGGGCTCCCAGCAGAACGGAGAGGCGCTCACAGAGTAGGGCCCGTGCCAGCTCTGTGCGAAGCACTTAGCATATAGCTTCTCATGGCAACCCCATAAGGCAGGTACAACGATTATCCCATTTTCCTAATGAAGAAACTAAGGCACAAAGCAGTTAAGTAACTTGCTCTAGGACGCAGGGCAGGGGGCACACAGGACGTGAGGGGTGGGCAGGAAGCTTGCCCCTCTCTGGGAGACGTTTGTGTCGTGTGCAGGGATGGGGCTCTTTCTCTGTGGGTAGCCTCCTCCATAGGAGACACTGCTCCACTTTCTCACCCTCCCTCCCAGACAGGCTGCTCACTCCCGGGGTCTCCTGGGAGCCCCCCACCCCACCCTGGCCAGAGTTTCCATGTGCTGGGTACAAGGTCCCAGCAGTTAGCCACAGTCACCTGGATGAGATCTGTGAGCGTCGCTGCCACAGCCCTGCCCCACCACCATGATGCCTCTGACACAGCCTGGCTCAGCCTCAGCCTGGGGCTGGTGGGCGGAGCAGCCTGGGGTCACCAAGCACAGCCCTGCCCCTACATGGGCTGGGATCTCTGCTCTGGGAATGGGGTCTAGACTTTTGCTCAAAGCAAAGTCTTTTTTAAAAAAAAATATATTTTATTGATTTTTTACAGAGAGGAAGGGAGAGAGATAGAGAGTTGGAAACATCGATGAGAGAGAAACATCGATCAGCTGCCTCCTGCACACCTACTGGGGATTTTTTTAGAGGAAGGGAGAGGGATAGAGAGTTAGAAACATCGATGAGAGAGAAACATCGATCAGCTGCCTCCTGCACACTCCCTACTGGGGATGTGCCCACAACCAAGGTACATGCCCTTGACCAGAATCGAACCTGGGACCCTTGAGTCCGCAGGCTGACGCTCTATCACTGAGCCAAATCAGTTAGGGCTCAAAGCAAAGTCTTTACTCTCGGCCTGGTCCCTCCCTTTCTACTCTGCCATTGGCCATGCTCCGACCTCAACGACCAGATCTTCACAGGAGGTTCTTCTCAGGAGAGGAGGGAGCACACTCCCGCCATGCACAGGGGGCAGAGGGACGTGCTCCTGGAACAGGAGGGAGGGGGCAGGCCATGTGCTTTGAGTGCCCCTTATAACTCACAACCTCTGGCCTGTTGTGCCCCCCATCCCATGCCCCAGGCCATCCGAGAGTGGTCATGGTCTGGGGCCAGCTGACCTCACCTCCCAGCACACACCAAGCCTCTCCAGTCACATCTAATGATCTGTGGCCAGTTTCCTACTCCCCTTTGAATGCAGACTCCATGTCCCCTCGCCTAGGAGCCTCTTCATCCTGCAACTCAGTGCCCCCTGGGAGCATTCAGGCTCCCGTAAAATCTTGTCATTTCTCACTGATCACATTATGTCACGGGCACCGATTGGGCACACAAGGTTTGGATGGGTTTCTGTAAAGAGCTTTGAATGATGCCATTCACAGAGCACTTCCCACGTGCTGGCAGACACTGTGCTGGATGCTGGGCGTGTGCCTCTGTTATCACCCCCATTTCCAAGATGCGGAAACTGAGCCGGAAGTAGGTTAGGACACAGATGTGTCCTGGGCAGTCTGCTGTCCAGCCTGACCCGGCCTGGGTGCCGATCTCACTGTGCAGATGAGCAAGTGTGTGAAGGGAGGGCCCAGGGGTGAAGCGTGCTGCTTCCTGCTGAGACCTCGAAAACCCATGCCCAGCAGGGTCACTGCCTCAGCCCCTTCCCTCCCTTTCTTTTCTAAGAAAAAGTCCCCCATCCCTGCGTACAACACAAAAGGCCACAAAAGTTCCTCCCAGACTGAGCAGCAGGAAGGCGAGGAGGGCTGGCCTCAGGAGAGGAGCCTAGGGTGCCGTGTGGGGTGCCGGAGTGGCGGCGGGGGCCCCACAGGCCATAGAAGGAAGACCCAGCAGGAGTTATGAAAACTGTCTCACAAAACGCCCGAAGGCATTTGCTTTTACACTTTGAAAACCAAAGATGCTACCACCCCTCTTCCCGCTTGGAGCCGGAGTGGAGTGGGGTTTATTGCTTGGAAGGAGTCCCAGGGAAAGGGGGGGAGGCAGCAGGCGGGGGCAGAAAGCCCCTCCAAATGCCCTACCTCCCTTGCTCACAAAGCTTACTCCCCCAGTCCAGATCCCCCCCACCCCCCCACCCCGACCCATGCTGGGAAAAGTGTCTCATGGCAAAGTGGCCGCAAAGCCAAACCAAACACTCTGAGCGTTCCCAGGCTCCGCAGACGGCTGGCACCGAGGGGCCCAGTCTGCTCTGAGCCGACGGGGCCTCTGGGGTGGGGAAGGACCCTCTGCCTGAGGGGAAGGCAGAAGCCCTGTTCTAGCCTGCCCCATGTTCCTGCTTGCCGCGTGACTCTGGGCAAGTCCAGTCCTCCAGGCCTCAGTTTCCCCAGGTGTACAATGAAGGAGCAGGGGCGACCCCTTGGACTTTTAAGTGTTTTCTAGCAGCAGAAGCCAGAAGGGAGAAGCCCAAAGTATAAAGCACAGTGTCAGCTGTCTGTCCCCCAAGGCCCCTTCCTAGGGCTTCCTGGAGCAGGCGGCCAATCTTGGCATCAGAGGGTCTCCAACAGCCATCCAGGCTGGGCTCTGGGAATCTTGGGGCTGTGGCTTTCTTGTCAACACAAGGGGCTGCTGGGTTGTGTCCTGGGTGGCTTCTGAGCAGGCTCTAAGTAGATAAGGGGAGATGGAGCCTGGGACAGCAGAGCCTGGTGCCAGGAAGCCCTGGTGCCGGGGGGCCCTGATGCCAGGTGGCCCTGATGCTAGGGGACCCTAATGCTGGGGGGCCTGGTGCCAGGTGGCCCTGATGCTAGAAGGCCCTGATGCTGGGGGTGGAGGTCTCAGTGCGATCCTGCTGGAGGAGGCCTCACTGTGGTTCCAGCCCGGGCCTGGCCTCTCTGGGCCAAGTGCGCCAGACACAGGCAGAGACGTAAGTGACTATAAAACTCCTAGGAGAAAACCTGGGCAGTAAACTCTCTGACCTTTCTCGTAGTCATATTTTTTTCTGACATATCTCCTCAGGCAAGGGAAACAAAAGAAAGAACAAACAAATGGGACTACATCAAACTAAAAAGGTTTTATACAGCAAAGGAAACAACAAAATGAAAAGCAACCCACTGAATGGGAGAATATATTTGCCAATGATACATCTGATAAGAGGTTAATATCTAAAATTTATAAAGAACTTACATAACTCGACACCAAAAAAAATCAAACAATCCAATTTAAAAATGGGCAGAGGACCTGAATGACACTTCTCCAAAGAGAACATGCAGATGGCCAATAGATATATGAAAAGACGCTCAATGTCACCAATGGTCAGAGAAATAAAAATGAAAACCACATGATATATCACCTCACACCTGTCAGAATGGCTATCATCAATAAGTCAACAAACAACAAGTGCTGATGAGGATGTGAGAAAACAGCTCTTGTGCAGTGGGAATGCAGACTGGTGCAGCCACTGTGAAAAACAGTATGGAGGTTCCTTAAAATATTAAAAATAGAGCCACCTTATGACCCAGTAATTCCAATTCTGGATATATGAAGAAATCCAAAACACTAGTTCTAAAATCAGGCACCCCGATGTTCATTGCAGCATTATTTACGATAGCCAAGATGTGGGAGCAACCCAAGCAGATAAAGAAGAGGTGGCACATATATAAAATGGAATATTACTCGACCGTAAAAAAGAACGCAATTTTATGTCACCAATGGTCAGAGAAATAAAAATGAAAACCACATGATATATCACCTTACACCTGTCAGAATGGCTATCATCAATAAGTCAACAAACAACAAGTGCTGGTGAGGATGTG